AAATGTAGAAGTTTTTGGTAGAGAATGCGTCTAGAGTTGCAGGAACCCTAATATGAAGGTAACATATTATGCTAATAGATCTTCTTTTTTCATTTTTGGTCATTCAACAGAAGATGGAAAGAGAGTTTGGTTTAGTGTCCTATTTATGAAATGTAGGCTTATCACCTCAGAGTACCCATTATAAGTAGTTTTAAGAGCCGCGGTGATGCAATGGTTAGATTGCAGTACTGCAGGCTACTTCTATTGATTACTGTCTGCCAGCAGTTTGGCAGTTCAAATCTCACCATGCTCAAGGTTGAGCCTTCCATCCTTCCGAGGTGAGTCAAATGAGGACCCAGATTGTTGGGAGCAATTGGCTGATTCCCTAAACAGTTTAGAGAGGGCTGTAAAGCACTGTGGAGCAGTATATAAGTCCAATTGCTATTGCTATTAAATATCGTTTTTAATTCTTATTAAATGAATAAAATGCATTGAGTTCATAGAAAACACAAAGTTAATTTTAGGCCATCTCTACACTGCAAATCTCTTTTGGAAAGATTATATCTTGCACTTTAAGGGACATAAACAAATCTATTTAAATACCCAAATATAAAAAATGGAACAAAGTTCTCTTTGAATTACTCCTTTAAGTTCATCAATAATATTCTACAACCATCCCATTGGACTATGAAAGAGCATCTAAGGAATTACCCAAAGGCTTTATGTATTCATGAGCTTTGCAGATAGTAAAATCGGATCTTAAAATGTGAAGATTGTATTTGCCTCATCTATTTTATTTACTGTTTTGTTTAAATTAAATGAAGGATTATTGAAGGTCAAGATGGAAACCCAGAAAAGGTTAGGGAACGTGGTTTAAGCTATTCAAATGATTGTGTTTTCTCCTAATGAAACATTGCATTCTTCTTTGCTTCCTGTAGCTTAGTCATCCAGTGGAGATTTGTCAGCAGGGTTCAAAAGCAGATGAATGCATTTCTTGAGGTGAGACATTTCACTGACAATTCATTGTTTGTCTTTGTCCCCTGGTCCATTCTGGGAAGGGAGGAAGGGGAAGGAGGGAGGCAGGGAATGGAGGGAAGGATTCAAAATATTCATCTAGGAGTTTATGTGGACACATATGAAAAATCAGTGCTGCATTTCCTAGATTCCCAGACGAATGTTTTAAATCCCTCCCTTCCTTCAGCTCAATAGAGCCATCTTCCATTTCTTCTTTCTACACCCTTGGAAAATCAAAGGAAGACAGTGGGTTTTGTTTGGAAAATTGGGGAGGGAGGAGTAGGAGATGAATGTCCTGCCTTCAAAAATAAAATAGTGGCCCAGAGAATAAATTGTCCATTGCAGTAGGACCCAGCCATATGCTCATAACTCAGAATACTGAACTTCATTTTCAAAATCACCCTTATTCCTTCGCCACCAAATCCTTCTGAGTTCAGCATGATCCTTCTTCGTGTTCCAATTTGAGAAACAAAGGAGAAATGGGTGAAGGCTGCCTGTCTGTCGTTCTTTCTTCCCTCCTTGATTGGCATATATACCGTTTTAGCTCCAATTCAAACAGACCTCGGAACCTGAATGCAGACAATCTGCCACATGGAATTACTCTTTGCAAGAAGGAGGAACTCCCTGTGGAAGTGTCTGGGATTACAGAACACCCCTCCCCAGACCTCCAGTGTTTCACTTGTCTCCCAACATCGCCAAAGTTCTCTGAATTAAAAGCTGTTCATTGTAGCTCCTCTCTGAGCTTTTATTTTGAAATGTTTAAATGCATCAGCAGTGTTAAACTACGAGGTGTGTATATTGAAAATATATTGCAATCCATTTGTTTTTCTCTCCCCCCCCTTTCTGGTTTCAGGGATTTACAGAACTCCTGCCCACCGACTTAATTAAAATTTTCGATGAAAACGAAGTGGAGGTTAGTTGCCTTTTGATGTTGTCTTTAAGTAGGGGTTTCTTTGGTGGAAGCAGTTGGAAAGATCCTTGCATGCTTTGAGCGGAGAGGGGGAAAAAACTTATTGGCCTAAATTCTGCAAAGATTTCTCTACACATACATAGCAATCCTACAAGTCTCTTGTTTTAGATGGGGCTTTTTAATAACACATGTGTGTTTTCAGGGTTCCTATTGCCAGCTAAATTTAGATTTACCATCACAGACCTTATCTGGCTTGGAGAGCTGCCAGGTTGATATCTGCAAAACTTGGCAAGGAGTCTGGACAAACCAATTAAGCGAATTAATTGTCTCCTGCAAACTCTACTCTCCTTTTGCTCCTCTTTTATTTCCTTTGGGAGGGGCCATTCATTGTCCGTTTGTGGCCTTACTCCCAAGTCG